ACTAGATGACATCGGCTGTCTTACTAGCGTCCGACTCAGAAAGGTGTACGCTGTGGCGTATGAATAATAGATATGTGTTGTAAAGGGGTCGCAAACGTGACACTCTAATGCCAAATCAATATGTTAAGCGGTTTGATAGACGGAGACGACCAGTCGTCAAATGAGCGGGCGGTGCGGTGTGGAATGATTGGGCGTCATGAAGGGGCGACAAAACAATTTTATTACGATGCACATATATAAGGGCGGAAACGATTCGTTCCTGTGTATGCAGTCGATTAGATTTCGATTTTCAGTTCCCATATATTAGAACAGTTTTCTGGGTTGTAGAATTATGGGGTGTTCCTTTCCATATCGCTGGTATTACTGGATTAATTATTCGTGCCATATTTGAAGAAATTATTTGATATTAGGTCAAAATCTCACAATACTTTATATATATATATATATATATATTGGGTCGCCTGGGCAGTTTTGCTCTCAATCTACGATACAAATAGTTATGTGATCTACCCGAAAATTTCCCATACATGCAAATCTATCTTATTTATTTATCGAGTTAATCAAGAAATAACCACTTCAACCACATACGATTATTAGTAGTAATTTTAGTTTCAACGTAAGGATCTAATAATAATAATATAGTGTCTTTATTAGATTTTGTAAAAGGGCAACAGGACAACTGACAGAATCTTTATAGATTGAAAGCAAAATCTAAAAGGTTGAGTGTCAGCTTCATGGTATATTTCAACTCAACCTAAAAAAAAGAAACAGTAGAAAGTAAATTCGACCATAAGCGCACCATTGCTTTGTCGCTATTAATAAATCTATAATTTTCTATAGACATAACGAATTGAAAAAATATCCGTATTTATAAATAGACAAATGTATGCATTCATTGTGAAACATAGTTATATGGCGTCACAGTATACCGCTAGTACCCTATCATCCTAACAGCATAAGCTAGTTCTCCTCTACATCTGCATCAGAACATTTTTCCAGCCACAGCTTATCTAAGATGCGTTCAGGCCATACCAACCAACAACCAAATTATCCCGACTTATACATTTTCAAGTTAGATCATGTCACTTTTTAGAATACTACATTCATGATATTAGGCATATTTTTATTCGGTCTGAATATGATAAAATAGAACCGGAAGAAAGGCAGACGATACAAGCACAGTCAGCATCTGGCACGATTACATTTCATACAATAACATGCCTCAGCTTCTTTTTGAAACTTATAAGTGAGAAGTCATAAAATTTGTTAGGGAGGGAGTATAATTTAGCAGCATTATAGAAGCTTTTTTTATGTAAAAGTTCTATGAGTTACTGTGAGGGCCATGTTTTAGGTAAGAACCGTTTAGTAGACTGGCCATCAGTGTGCGAGGTTGAACGGACGTCACGTGACAGGCTGTAAGGGAATGATGCGCAATAGGTTCTTATTTTAAAAATGTATAACCAGTATCGTTCTGTTTCTAGTGTTAAGCAGATCAACGGTCTCAAATTTGGAAAGTTTAAGTCAAAAATAGCTCGACCTTTCGTTTATAAGGACTTTGTGAACTAAGTATAAAAAGGTAGTTTCCTGAGTTTAGCTAACTTTAGCTTCCTGTTTCATTTATGAACGTAACTCAAATGGGTGTACTTTAAACTTCAAAGCATCAAGATATTAATTCTGCATCCTTTGTAATTTAGCACAAACGCCTCTTAACAGTGGAAATAGCTGCTTAAGCATGTTGCAGGCGGAAGAGCAAATTCTATTAATTTGTGTACTAAATCGTAAATCAGTATCAAGCCGCAGACCCAAGTTTAACTTTCCAGTTTCGCAAACTTATAAAATAGTTATATGAGTTTTTGAGATGCTAACTTCTTGTCTGTTCCACATGAAGTGGTGGGCGCCTTGCAAGAAGATTCCTTCATATCTGGACAATTCGGCAGTTCGCACATACACACCAGCCCTTCGTCACAAAAATACTTTAAACTTTTATACAAACACTCTAAAGCATTTTTCATTGTTATTTTTACTGTTTACTGTATTTTGGTATGTATTTCAAGCCGGTTCGACCAAGTTGTAACAATGATTTACAAAAACATTTCTGTGGCAAATATTTTAAGACCATGTCATTAGTTTTTGGAAAATAGCTACGAATTAAATTAAATTAGAAAACATATTCTGTGAAATAATGAGCGCAGCATCATCGGATGTCACAAGTGAATTCACAATCTACCCATGTACGGTAAGTAATGTACGGTACAGAAGTGTTGTAGAAAAGTACATTTCGTGAAATTTATTGCATAGCGCAATGACTTGAACATTCTACAGCGAAACAACTCATCTAACAAAAATGCTAAATATACAAATGCTAGGATATCGTAATGAATATATTGAAAGAAAACAAGATAGCAGGGTGGATATTCAAAAAGACCACAACAAACTTTTTTAACTAACTGAATTTTAACTTACTTTCAATTACAAATTTACGGAAAATATTGCGTTCAATTTCACTTACATCTCGACCAACGTATACCAGCTCATAATGGTAAAGTGTGTATCAGATTTAAAATAGACATTTTAAAGTGCAATAAAACGTTTTAAAGAGGCTCAATAATTACTTTCTTCACTTTGTCAATTATATATGCGGATTCCCAAATTGGATGTTCTGCTGAGGAGACATTAAATAAAAAAAAAATCAGAACAGATTACAATTTTAACTGTAATAATAGGCTATGTTGAATTTTACACACCATTTGTATTAATATGCCTGTTATACTTTGGATCCTAGAGCAAGAAAATATGGTCAAAATGTGCGACCGAAACTGACAACTCGTTTATACCGATATCACTTGCAGAACAATGTACGCAATTAATACATTTTATTTGCATTTGGTCATATTTTGATGTTTTCTGTAACAATTAGAAATTAAAACCATAGCCAAACCGCCATCAACTGAGGTCCTTTGGCCCTAATTAAAACTATTACATCTCTGTACCAGCTTCTGCCATAATTATACGTTATCAGCTTTCCATGCATAAAAGTTATATGTTTGTTACAATCATAACGATATTGGAAGATATTCATTACGTTATCGGAATACAATGATGTCCTGCTCGTTTTTATTGTTGCTTTAGACATTGTATGCACTATTTTAAAATACTATAATTCTAACGAATTCAGCTGGTGAAACATTTATGTTTACTATATTATTTCTTGGCAAAGGCAAAATAATTTTAGGGGTCATAAATATTCCGGAATTTTTCAAACCATATTTTATACTTGTTTGCGCCAATCATCTCTTCAATCGCACTTTACAGGTTGACTACGGGGCAAAAATCTTAATCTGGAAAGATTTGGTGACGTGCTCAACTTATCCTTATATCCCTTTGTGATTCAATTTTTCTATCGTAAAAATGGCACCGCGAGTGTGCATTTGTGCAATTCGATTGGACAAAAATATACCGTTCATATACATATTTACAATATATAACATAAAAGCACATAAATATAACAGCGCGATTAGCTCAATGGACGTCATTTACATACAATTTACGAGGAACATCGCATATAAAATTTTATGAAGGATTATACTTATGTTCTCATGTATGTTTGTATATAAGGTAATAAATTAGTAGTACAATGCTGCGTACCAAAGTCAACTCAACGATATAAATATATATTGTAATCTAAATTACCTAAATGTAAAGCATGCTAGTTAAATTAAAAATTCCTTCAATATGCCTCGTTATTTGTTCTTTGCTCATAAATTATCATATATAGAAAGTTCAACTATACTTAATTATCGTAAATATATAAGGCAAATCAGTGGCAGTGCCACAGAACTAATGGAAAATGGCGTCAAGTAAGTTAACAAGCCACATGGTTGTTCTAATAATTTTAAAAATAAATATATTTCAAGGTTATGTAAGTTCAAGGCTTATTTAACGCAACTCCCAAAACAGCTAGAGTGGACGGCCAGTTATAACATCAAGTTAGCTAATTTGACATACCCTTGTATAATAAATAAAGCGTGTCACAATAGGAAATTGTTTTTAAATTAAGCGAAAACTTTTACAAAAATAATTTGCTTTCTATATTACCTGACAGCAGGAGTATGACAATAATGTTTTGTAAACAATATTGTCTGTATAATGTCCTCCTCAGCTGTTTCTACAGACGTCCATTCTCAACCTTAAGCTTTCTGTGGCCTTTTTGGCACAATTGCAGCTCAAGGTCACCGGTAACTTCAAAAATATTTCCCCCTAAATGCACTGGAATCATTTTTGAATCCAATAGTTCCATCTTATATTTTCGATTAACTATTTTTTGTACTTTACGGAGTTTTGTAAAATGTGACATCGTCGCAGCGGCTCAAACGAGAAAAGTCGAATATGTCCCGAAGATTTATGGCCTATGAACGATTAGTCAGGCTACGCCAAAATAGTTCCGTCGATCTATTTGTTTATTAGTCCAGGTGGAGGACATTTCTGAGACAGCACATTGCTAACCACCGATTTAAGATAATAAACGTCAAAACCTGATAATGTCGTGAAAAAATATGTTATCTTTCTGTCGATTTCCCATCTTCTTTTGACAGTTTAAGCTCCAACCACACAAGCGCCGCTCAACGGGAGCAAAACTCGACATCTACAGCTCTACCATTCTAACATTTCCGTCGCCGTATGACACGTAGCCCGTATATCTTGATGGAAGAACGTATTGTCAAGGTGAAGATTATCCAGTTGGAGCAACGAAAGTCCATATTCATGACAACGCTCATCGTTGACATTTACCGATTCCCCATCGTTCCTTTCATGAAAAAAAGAGAGATGGTTCATAAATACATTGCTGCATCAAAGTGACACACGCACAATATAAAACTTCTAGTTCTTTATTTACCTAAAATGTAAGTTGTGGTAGCTGCTAGAATGACAGCGAGATAAAATCGCTTCTTTTGAAAGCAGCAAGCTATGTGATTAATTATGGACAATTACAAAGGGCCTACCTTTCTTGGTGCTGGATTTCTTTGACCATTATATCGGCCAAAGGATCATTGTAAGGCCTTTCTCCCAGTAGTCTCTGTTGATCAAGATCACCTTGCATCTGACTGAAAGCATGGTCCCCGACATTTATCGAGGTCTCCAGTTGAGCAGACAAGTCGATGGACTCTTCATCAGCTGAAGCAAAATGAATTACTATAATGAAGAGTTTCATATACTTTTGGTTACAGTAATCACCATGGTTTCTAAAGACAAGGATTTCTCGATTTACTATCATGTGGCTTCGATGAGATCCCGTGATAATAATTTTGTATTGTACTTGTAAAGAACCTGTATACTTATATCACGCTAATTTTCAATTCATAGAAAACTTTCCAGCTAATATACCAAAATTAAATGTATTAGATACGCCACTCGACCACCGGTACATCTTGCTAATATAACCACACTGACCTTTAGATTGAATGTAAGTGGCTACTAGATAGAACATCCACAGTAACCTTGTTCTTAAATCTCAAAGATTATTTTCAAAGATTCATAACTACAGTAATTAAAAATCTACGAGTATCAGCGTAGGCAGCTTTATAACAAACTACTACTGTCCTTATAAGTTTAAAGAAATTATACCTCAAGGATACAATACAAGGTTACAAGGTATTTGTCTTCTGGTCTACCGATAAGAATTCCTATTGACAAAAAACTACGGAATATGCTTGTATCGACGTCAATATGTTATAATGATTTTATGAGCAAACATATTGAAGAGAATAGCTTCTAATCCATATGTCAATTACTTTTAGCCTGAGTTAACATTTAAATTGAACAGCAAATATGGAATATCTAACATAGTTTCGTGTCTAGAAAAATTATATTATTGAGCAACAGTCATTGTATTTTTAAGCCAAAAGAAAGCAAAAGTCGCTTTGACCATTTTGTTCAATTTTGTTTGATAAGAGAAGATGTACACGTATGTTTTGTTACGGTTTCGAATAAATAATTATCTAGATTTACAAAGGGATGAAAAAATGAAGAAGAGAAAACAAATCTGAAAGAAGGCATTTTTGAAAGATCACTAACAAATACGGAACATGTTTTATTGCTTGAATCTAACCAACAATAGAGTATTTATAACTGAGGAGATTGTGTTCTTAAGTTCAAAAGAGCACGACACCAATCGCTTCATTTCCCCTTAATAGGCGTGCACCCACTTATGTGGGTGAAAGAGTATTAATTTAAATCCCCTACATATACTGACATATAAATCCGAACACCCAGTTTAAATGGTTTTATTTTAATAAAATTTTGTATAAGTACTTAATGAAGCATAATAAGTAAATGATAAAAATTTCAAAATGATTGCACTGCTTTAAAGCCCTTTGACCTTTAATCATGTGTGGCTGCACCTTGATGTGCTACGCATTCTCCAACGCGCCTAGACATGCTTCTGATCAGGTGGTCAATGTCCTCCTGTGGTATCTCATTCCAGGCAACCACCAACTCCTCACGAAGTGCTTCTAGAGTCTGAGGAGGACGTTGCAAATTGAGCAATCTCCTACCCATCATATCTCACACGTGCTCAATTGGGGACAAGTCGGGAGATCTTGGTGGCCATGGTAACAATGTGACATCATTATGTTGAAAGAAGTCTATTGTAACTCTTGCAACATGTGGTCGGGCATTATCTTGTTGGAAAGTTGGATCTGCCAGGGTGTCAAGATAGGGTAAAAGATGGGGTTCTAGAACTTCGTGGATATAACGCTGCGCGTTCACGTTACCTCTGATGAAGATTAAAGGTGACCTGGAACCATAAGCCACCAAGTCGCCTTCTAACCCTGGCACGACCATCGTGCATGCCTAAACAAAATCTAGACTCGTCACTAAAGACAATACTGTTCCATTCCTGATCCCAGAGTGACCGTTGTCTGCACCACTCAAGGCGATTACGTCGGTGTTCTCGAGTTAAAGGGAGGACCCAGTGTGGCCGGTATGAAAACAAGCCAAAACTTCTTATTCGTCGGTAAACACTTCGCATGCCAATAGGTCTTCCGTGTTCTGCAAACCATTCATTTGCAATGGACCTGGTAGTAAAGAAACGGTCCCTTAAGGCCAATAATCTTAGGCGGCGATCTTCACGGTATGTTGTTCTACGGCGGCGTCCAGTGCCCCTTGCTCTTTGCGTACGGCCTTCTCGAAGCCATGCCTGACAACTCCTAACCACAGTGTCTACACTTCTTTGCACTCTAACTGCAATTGCCCGAAAAGAAAGTCCAGCTTCCCGAAATCCTACAATACGGCCCCTATCAAACTCACTAAGTTGACGAAATCGTACAGGTCTCCGTACTCTAGGCATCGTAAACGATCGTAAAAGATGTCAAGAACCATAATCCGCCAACGTTCATTCTTTACTGCGGCTGAAATATTCATTTTTAGAGCGTTAGTGAATTAAAAAAAAGCAGTATAAAAACCGGAATGTCCAACTGATAAGGCTGAAAATTTTTTCACTTGTTATTTACAGTAAGATAAATATATTCACCAACTTTTATTAAAATAGAACCATTTAAACTGGGTGTTCGGATTTATATGTCACTTAGTATATATTGCCAGCTGGATGAATCAGTCAATATGAACCAACGAATTCGAGCCAGGTAGAAAGAGCAAGTATACGATTTGTTTGTCGCCAAAATTATGTAGTCAGTAGTTAGGATGGAAGTAGTAGTCAATTAGCTGCGAGTTAGACAGTTGTGGATATTTCACATTAAATTCGTACTTTTATTCGTATGGGTACCATACAATCCTAGTGTTCCAGACAGTTGCCGGAAATAGTGAATGTTTCTGTGGATGTCAAAGAGCAGTTCAAACTAAATAAGAGCAAATCATTTTATCGATAAGTGTTATATATTATAGTCATAAGCGTTGAGAATATTGAGCCCCCAGCACTGGACTTTTACGTGGACCGTTGTGCAGTGTAATTTTGATTCAATTCATTTCCCCTCTCGTTACATTCAGCACTAAGTCTCAATCGAACGTTTATTAGCAGAACTGCGTACCTAAGAACAACAACGAAAAATGCGAAATATTGAAGACAAACCAAATTATTTGATTGATAGTGAAAATGGCGAACCGGAACTTCAATCTAGCTAAACTAAAATTTAACTTCTACTTTATTTTTAAATCTGAAAGTTCTTAAGAAATATACTTTTGAGTTATAATTAGTAATTTTTAATACCTTCAAATATTTTTGTTGGACAAATATAGAGCCAAGGATATAATAGCAAAAATTTTCATATTAACTTCAATTAGGTATTTGCTTTTAGTGCAGAATCTGCTCGGAAGGGTTGCTACCCAAAAAACCTATATAATGTCAAAAAAATAACAAAAAAATGTCAACTTCCTGGCTAGATAGTTCCTAGTGTCCAAATAGATAATTGCGCTTCTGTTCGCTTTGGGTGCTGTGAGAGTCACCAAAAGCGTCATCTATGGAGGAATAACTCAACGACACGACACGCTCAATGACCATGCTGCAAGCTGCAATTCAGTTCCCCAGCATGTCTTGTTGGTTGCATAATGCTGAGATAGTCTGCGAAGATGTGTGGTTGAGAAGCAGAGTAGCAAGACCACATCTGGATGATTGTGTCGGCATGTGTATAAAATCAGTGATATTTGCTATGTGAGAAAATTATTTCTGAAAATGCTGCCCGTGAAGTATATTACGAGTAGCTGTACCAGAAGGGTTATTTGTGTTTCTGAAGAGAGGTTATGTTCCAGGTTATATACCATATAAAAATGACACAATATCACTTTTCGAGATATGTAATAACCCCGCGGACTGCAACAACCATTTAGAAAAACCGAGCAGAATTCATACAAGGTGTCCCACAATTTCCAATATCAGTTATTTCGACATTGTTGCTGTTTTATGGAGATAATGTTTCGTATTTTCCCCTTTCAAAATCACGAATTAAGCATTGTTCATATATGATGTATCATTGTTAAATATTTACTTTCGTTTCTTTGCCTTATTATTATTAACAATAATTCCGCGACTCACGTCGCGACACAAATAGTATTTCTGTCTTGCTCTACGTGAGCACACCCAATACGAATAACCACTTGAATTTTCTTACCAGAGAAAAGAATGTACGCCGAGATGAATTGGTTTGTCACTCTTGTAGGCAATGGTGGTCAAATTAGCCAAAATATGTACTAAAATTGCACAATTTTAGCGAAAACAATACCTTGTAAACATGATACGCTTAGTTCCTTCTAACATATTCAAATTTGTGAGTATAAACCAATTTTAATTTTCGGATATAAATATAACATTACAACTGTGTATGTTGCAGCCACGAACAACGATTGTGATGGATAATCTTAAACATCTACTAGAGTGAGGCAGAGACAACTGGAATTGACGCTCGGTGAGGGCCTTACTACTGACAATTTAACCAAGCATGGCCTTGGGTTGGCAACAATACAGCCATATTTGTAATAACGTGGCGTAAATTCCATTTGGATAAGGTATATATATGATATGTATTGAGAGATGTTGGCAGCCCAATGGAATAATTTATGAAAAAAGTAGATTTTTAAAAGAAAATAGTTAGAATTAGTAAGTTTAATGATAACAACAGACTATCAGTTTCCATGTCCCATCAAAATGGATGAAGTGGTTACTTCGGTTTCGAGATGACAAATAACCAATCACTTAGTATTCAGGAAGTGAGCGCTTTGAGACTCAAGCCCCTTTAGTACCCAATGCCTCAATAGATGTTTTCTTGTATCATGCTATAACTTTTGTGAAGTAGAATTACAATTTAAACATTCGACGATTTCAAAAACAATTAAAAAAAATGAGAAACGAAAAATATTTTGACAACCCCTAAAAAAAAGTGTACCTAAGTTGATTCTAAAATGGCAGACTGGGAAAGCTTGGATATTTCAGTGTGATTGGTTAATTACTTCATGGAAATCGGACAAATCCTCGACAGAATGAGTGACATGAATTTTGTTTATTAACTCGGACGTCACAAAGTCTATATTACTTTCGATTGTCTTACTTCACAAACGAAACATCATATTAGACACGTAAGGAGAACTTCCTCAACTCCAAAATGATGAGTTGAAGAATTCTGAAACCCCTAAAAACGACGTTTAAACATTCTCATCAAGTTTTCCCGATTTTTGATCAAGACACCGATAACACAATTTTGAACAACTTATAAGTTGTTATACTGCAAAAACGTTAATATTACCTATATATAATTTGCAGTTTCCCAGATTCTATTTTTTTTTTAAGAGAAAAGCAGTATTCTGAAACTAGGAAGATGCCTCGGCGGGGTTAGTGTTCAATATTTGAATTTGAGAGTAGAATGAATTTAGATTTAGGGCGTAATGATGTTGACACATGACGCGATCTGGTTCCGAAAATGTACGCGAGCTAAAACATGAACAGCGAAAACGTAAGAATAGTGAAGATTTTCAAGTAAAAGTGAGTTGGATCGTAAAAAAGTGAAAAAATCGAGTCGCCAACATCTCTGTGTAATCGGTATATTGGATCAACAGAACTTTGCAACAAATGGAGTCAAAATGGCGGACCAGAAACAATTTTCTATCAAGGTCCACTTACGGTGCAGCGCTGCGTGCTGCGGATTGTCAATGATGCGAATCTGCCTATCTGGCATGATTGGCTCTCCGTCGGCGCCCCCCACGTCGTCAGGCAGCTGGCCGGCCACAGCCCTTTGTTCGCGTTTCGACCGGGGGAAGTACAAAGGCAACAGAGCCTCGTAGATGGCCAAGTCAGCGTTGCTTACGCAGAAGACGACCGTATCCAAGGAACTGCCGTGCTTGTCCAGAAAACGACGAACTGTGCCTGCAACAAAACAATTCATTAGATACTTGCATGTCTGAACATTGGAAATAAGATATTCGCGCCGAATGAAAATATTATTTAAGCGCATACAAAAAAATAATCATCTCATTTTGATTTTTTTAGTTTACTCCCCTAAACACGAGCATTCAGATCCTACCACCAATTGGCATGAGGCATCATGTGCTACTTTTAAATCATGTCTGATTTAGTAAGCTACCTCAGTACTGCACTAGGTGTTCAAACAGAGAAAATGCAAAAATGTTGCATATAAAAAATACATTAATAAAACGTTAAAAGATACAAGAGAAGGATCACTGCGAGTATTATTATGTCTACGAATGATTTCAATAAATAGAGAGACATTTCGAGTAACTCGAAACTGAACTTCAATCCACGAATTAGCACCAGTAACATTCAGGGGGGTGAAACTCATATTGGCGAATGTTAAACAAAGCAGTGTTGCTGGTGCATAATATGGCAACCATGTCGCACCCTCAAAAAATGAAAAAATGGCGACTTATTCACAACTGACGTTGTCCGATTAGCCAGATTTAAATTTCCGGCGGGTTTCTTCCTGTGCTCTGTGCTTTACAAAAATAACCATACTTTTTCAGCATGTCATTTTCTTAACATTACATTTTAGGTCCCTATTATGTTATTTGAGCCATATGCATTTTGTTCGGAGTTGTGTACTATAAGTACACAAAGCTGTAATACCTATGTTTGTAAATCCTATAAGACTCCACATCAAAACTTTCTTTTTTAAGGTGATCCAAGTCATTAGCCAGGCTTCTGGCAGATCCTGAGGAAGAGCAGAGATGCAGCGGTTACTCATTTTAGCAACGTAATATTTGAAGTTCGTACCTGTTTGTATCTCCACATCACTCTTTCAACAGTGGAGCACCACGAAAAGTTCAATAGCTGCCGTTGTCAACCCCTGAGGTCCTGAGAATTATCACAAGCTCAGAGATATTAAAAAAAAATGTTACCTTGTTTTATAAAGTATCGTCCCGACAAGCATTTCAGTGCGGACCTGTATTTGATCGTGCGGTCTTGGAGCACCGGCATGCCCTCCCCTGTGAGGTCTTAAGTCACCTGATTCACGAGACCTTTGTACTACATTAACAAAGGTACGAGCGGTTGGTTGCACTCGATTGGGAAACCGATAAATCCGTGATGCCGCAGCAGCATTTTGTAAATAAGAATAATGTCCACAAGTTCAGCATTTTCGTAAACATGTGCCATTTTTTATTTCGTTTGGGCCATGCAACAAACACCACTATTCACTCACGCGTTACCCACTGACACATTGACTGACATCGTGATAAACGTTTCAAATTCATTCGCTTTTTTGTTTCCGATGCGATGAACCGATAAGGCGGATTATATCCGTTGTTGACAAACACGAGCACATAATATTATTATTGAGACAGAGCGGTACTCAAACTTCTAAAGGGCTATAACTTTGTTAATTTAATTTTACCAGAAAAATGTTAAAGGAAAAAACATTTCTTTTGATCAGATCTACTCACTGTTAAAATAAATGACTCAACTTCGAAGTCACCCTGTATATATGAAAGTATGCAATCTCAGATTTATATGTAGAGCTGGCAACGTTGGGGGATATTAATCCACAATCTGGCAACAATGTCGCACCCTCAACAAATGGCCGCTGCCAACCATACAAGTCACCCTGTTCCAAATAGCATGGAATTAAACCTTCTTCAGTGTATATGTTTTGTGAGTAACCTTATTTCCTTATTCCGGTTGGTGACAAAATATTTGGAATTGTTGTCAGATGGTCAGATTGTTTTGCATTCTTAAAAAAATTAAATATTTTGGAAACTTTGAGACTTACTGAATCAAAATTGCTGGATAGTAAGCCTTATGGCATGAGCTATTTGCAGTTGTAAAATTGCCGTTTATTTTCCGGGCATTCTATTCCCTTCTTCACCCTATGGACATACGGAATCCGTCCCCAGGGCCCGGCTTGGTGGTCGTATCCCCAAAAATCAAACCAAAAATTTTTGAATACCCCTACCCCTTTCTCCAACGGCAGACAAAGTCTCCGGATTTAGCTCTGGTTTGGGGCCCCTTCAACAGCAGGCCCCGAGCTTTCTGTCTGCTGAGGGGCCCCTACTTAGCTTATTACGGTCCTGCGTGCAAACTGTAGGTATCCAAAAAGAAAAAAAGCAATCTGATAAGGAATAATCATCCATATGTACAAATCATAAGTTCTCAAACTTATTTCTAATGCCTCTCGGTGTATTTTAATGTCGGAATATATATAAATTATACTTGTACGCGGCGAAGTGCGATTTGTCGCTCACGTCAGGCAACCAATAGCACACCACGTACTCGGCACCATCTATCGGAGTCTAGATTAACGTTCATTCTGACAGGGGTTCGATCAATAACAAAGAAAACGCCCATACACTTTTTGATACGTCAACGTCAAAATTTTAACCTAACAATTCGGCGAAGAGTGACGTGTTCTTGTACGAAAAAAACATTGCCACACGTAGTAAACAATTTTTTTAACTAGGCCGGTCCGTTTATTTAACAATTCCAAAATGCTGTTCGCAATGTTCGACGAAGTGAAACGAATGAACAAACGCCAATTCTTATACCAAGTACTTAGTTTTGGGATGATCGTATCCTCAGCACTGATGATATGGAAAGGGCTTATGGTGGTAACAGGCAGCGAAAGCCCCATTGTCGTAGTATTATCTGGAAGTATGGAACCAGCGTTCCATCGAGGAGACCTACTCTTTCTCACAAACTTCCCAGAAGAACCAGTGAAGGTAGGAGAAATAGTTGTGTTCAAGGTGGAAGGCAGGGACATTCCAATTGTGCATAGAGTATTGAAGTTACACGAGAAGAAGAACGGAACTGTAAAGTTCCTCACCAAAGGAGACAACAACAGTGTGGATGATAGAGGACTATACGCACCAGGGCAGTTGTGGTTAACAAAACAAGATGTAGTGGGTAGAGCGAGAGGCTTCCTACCATATGTGGGTATGGTGACAATACTAATGAATGAATATCCAAAATTCAAGTATGCTGTGTTAGGGTGTTTAGGATTTTATGTATTGGTGCATAGGGAGTGTGCGTAATGATGTAATTTTATTTATTTTTCATGAATAAAGTGTACAGATTATTGCAAATGTATTATTAATTTTGTCAGATGCATAATGTTTTGCTAAAATATTGCAGAGAAGCTCTCTCTCCATAAAGTATAATATGGTTTGTCCACTGAATTACATACATAACCTAACAAAATGAAGCAGTTGTGTCAGTTTAACAATCATAACCACTAGTAAATTTTCTATACTTCAACAAATTGTTTCAGTCTTGTTCTCAATTTCATCTTAAGAAACGGATGCATTCAATGCCCAGCACTTTGATGCGTAATATGAGTGTCTATTAAATTTGAATAGCTGAATGTGCTCAATTTTTGATGTACAGTCAATTCAGCCAAAATATTTAGCAAATTTTAACCACTTGGAATTTTGAGTTGCTTTTGTGTATAAAGAAAATACAATTAAGTAAAATATTTTATATTATATTATTATTGCAGCATTTTTGGTAATGCATTTTCATTCTTTTATACAATGTCACCTATTTTACAGAATGTTTTTAGTTCAATAAATCCTTGAGAATAGGGGACTGAAGGCAATCATGTTGTAACTGACATTTTTTGTTTACCAATTTGTTAATTACCTAATTTGTAAGAAAGGGAGAACCAAGTATTTTAAGTTATTTATTTGTGATGATGGAGTTTCTACAGAAAATTCTAATCATCATAATATGTCTTTGTACTACAGACAGACTATAATGTATTATAATGGGGTACTAATATCACTCTGAGTTCCAGGTTTTTTTTTTTTAGTTAGTTTAGATAATTTTTAGTAAACATTCCAAGATTTTGATTTTACAATGACATTTATTTGTATAAAAAGGATAAAACGCCTCAATTATCAAAATTGTTGATAATTACTTTATGACAAATGCCTTATTTAGTTGACTTGTTCTTATAACATGTAAATAGTCAGTCCTATTCAAGGAGGTTATGTGATAGTTCCTTGCACAACATTAACAAAGTGACAATGTTTTTCAAGATGTTTCTTTCATAGCTACAATTCCCTCGAATATCTAGCTAATCAATATTAAAAAATAAATTAGCCATTTGAAGGCAAATACTGTATGTATAAGTGGATAATTCTTGCTGGTTTTAGATGTTCCTACTTGGTGAAGCTTTCTTCTTGCTGAATGACAAATGAAAATGCATCTACCTAATTCTGACTAAATTTTGACTGTAGAAATTACTTTTGATGGCGCCTTGCCGTCATATATTCGCTATGATAATTTTAACACTACCATGATAATTTGAATATATAAGAACGCTAGAATCAGGTTTCAAAAGTATCATAGAGAATTATAATATTTGACGGGAAGACGATATCGAAATTTATTTCAACAGTCGAAATTTAGTGGGAACCCTGGATTAGTGAATCCCCTTCATACATATTTCATTGTTTTCAAATTAATGAAAAGGCATTATTGCTTCAAAGTTTTTTTAAGTTCACGGGTTTGTAATTATTTAATCTTTTTCTATATGGGCGTCGTTTAGCCTAATTACATTATGCAACAACCAAGAGCATCCATTTGATTTACTGCTTCAGTGATGCATACTATTATCAAAAAAACTGAATTCAAAAATTTGGAAGAAGTGTTTTTTTAACCTTCATTTAAACTTAGATGCATTGAGAACTCTGGTATAATCCGCATATGGTTCCCTACTGAAGTTGGTTAAATCAACTAATTTTTATATGCTCTATTTCTCATGGAAAAATTGCACAGCATTACAAATGTAATGTAATGTAATGTTTTAACTGTAATTTATTGCAAATATACCTACTTAAACTTGAATATATATATTTTTTCATTACAAAACATACACCCGTTTCCACATCAGGAACAATGTATTATGGAGTAATTTGATTTCCGCGTTTTTCAACTTTGATAACTGATGAACTATTTAAAATTTTGTGGCCGATTACGGCTACACTTACCGGTAAGTCCAGGCATGTTATGGTTGATATATGCATCCCAAATCTAGTGATATGGCGAAAAAGTTTTCGGATAACTCAGTGTCATGTTTTTAACATAATCAATGCATAACAAGCAATTTCCATTGCCATTAACGGTAGATTATTAAAATGATAACACAGAAGTGCTTGGACAATCAGATATGATACGTGTTGTTAAACTACTATGGTGCGTATATTTTGATCAAAATCGATGGTACAACGCTTTTAGCTGATCTAAGTTGTATATTTTGCTCACAATTGTATATATCTGACACTTTTATACTTTGTAATATTGTAATGTAAAGGTAAACGATGAATGATTAATGTTCGAATTCAGAGGTATTTTGAGCTCAATCAATGGATTTGTATTAATATTTTGTTAATAATTAGTTCTTTCAACAAAGGTCCCTCCTATACTTATTTTTTGAACGGGAAATTGATACATAAGTAATATATCTCAGCGTTAAAGGGCAGTTGAAAATTTGACGATGCATATAATGCAAAATTACTATCTCTACTCGCACTATCAAAATGGCGGATTGGACAGCCCTCAAAGTTGAGCGTGTTTGTACACTGAATCGCTTGTAGGTCAACAACGCATGGCGGGAGTCAGGATCACTGAGGACTTGTTCTGACACAAACACTCTTGTAAAGAGTGACAGTAGCTGGAAAAAGCTAGGATATTTGTGTAGTACTAAGAAGTACTTTTTTCCACATAACCTCCTCACTCCGTGCAAGATCCAGATAAGACCTAGCGTCAAATAGATGTTTAGGGTGCTGTCTACATTAGTCCGACTGATCTATGACTCTTCTCTAACGAACACTCTAGGGACCAGTTCGCACCAACGGGCCGTCGGCGATGTAGCTCCCTTCTACCGCTATTTTAACGGGCTTTGCTCCTCAGAGCTGTCCTCCATGGTACCGCCGCGCTATGTGCCTTCCAGACAGACTCGCCCGGCTTCGGCCTCCCATCCTGAACTTCGCACTTCCAGAACTCACCGATACAACCGCTCCTTTGTCCCTAGAATATCCGAGATTGTGAAACAATCTACCTGAGGACGCTTTTCCCAGTTATACTAACCTTAGGCAATTCAAAAATAGGAATAGCAAAGTTTTGCCAAGCTCCTCATAGAAGCCGTGGTACCCTGGTATTTAGGCTTCTAGTTACGCAGCTGCTTCGTGATAAAAACAACTAATCAACAGAACGTTATAGTACGTTACCACGGAAGGGTTTATCTGAATATGTAATGAAACGTGGATCATTTCATCTAAAAAATTGACAAAATGGAATAATTACAGTTTGTTGTTGCGCGAAGAACTTTGAATAGGTATGTACCTGTGCATACTACCACTATATGTTGGAACAAAAGGGACACAAAGTCCGGAATTCAATTAAATATTGGATATTGGCAAAACCGTCCACTACTCCACGATTTGACTAGTCACTTGTATTATAACTGAAAAAAAACGATTTGACGTCATTTTTGTAACAGATTAGAATACTTAGCCTATATAATTGCATCAATTATTTTGTTTACTAAATTCCTATCACTCAATGGACTGTTTTTCTGGATGACGTAATAGCGCGTGTTTGAGAGGGAAACAAAACTGAATAATCGATATACTTCTGCATGACGTTAACGCATTACCAAATAGTAGCGAAAGGATTTTTTTTTTGATAATCACCTAGTACAACGAAGTGTTTGGGAATTCACGTTTATCCTCTTCACTAAATTAGTGTACTCACGGTAAGTATAGGGTGTCGTAAAATTGACGTCATGGTTCAAATTATTTGAAACACTTTTATGAATTCGCCTTAAAAATGTGTTATACTGATGTGAAATGAGGTATAAGCTATAACATCTCTTAAATGACGGCCACAATTTGTTTCTTCTACTTGTAGACCCACGAGTGGGTATTGTGTATCGTGATCTAGCACTACAAACGTTCCATAGAGTGTCCTTTGTTGCCGAATACTGTTAATGCACTAACTTACTAGACACGGCTGACTTGCATTTATAAAGAAGTAATCATCGACATCGAGTAAGTTGTTCTGACAAGGGCATACTCCAAGCTATTGGTTATCTTTTTGGCGGTGCATTTATTTCTTGGAGAAGTGTATTTATACATTCAATTGATAAGACTATTTCAACAAAACACTTATTTATATTTTTGTAACTGTACTATTCAAATATGATTAACATACAGTTGCATCAATTATAATGTTTACTAAATTTTTATCTTCCTAGTCATAATTTTTCTAATGATACACTCGAAGGCGCCATGCACCATTACATTCAATGCATTATTTAAGGAATTCGGATAAATGCTAACATACAAGGTGCCACGATTTCGAACTCAGAAAAGGGCATTATAATGTTAGCCGATGCAAACTGATCAAGCTATCCAGATATACAACTTTCGAATAAAGTGGCAGGTATCTAGTCCAGGGGGTATCTCCGGATCCGCTCGGGAAAATGTTCTGATTTGATTGTATTGAAAATTATTCAAAAACGACCGCCTTTAACGAATCTGTATTTTGCCAGGTCCAAAATAGCGTCAAAAACTATTTTTTTTTTGTTGCTTTTACGAATTCTGGGTCATTTTGAACAAAGATCATAGCTAACAGTAATAAGTCCTCCGCAACCATAAACTTTGCGAGAACGACTACGAACAATAAAGCCCATTTTCCCGTAAAGATATTGTTGCTATACTTTTCGTTTAATTTACGAACAATTGAACGACATGAGCATGAATTTGAAAAAGGTTGGGAATAGAACTAGAAAAAATGTCTGTGCTCAAATGACTTGAATTCGTAAGGTAAAGATGAAGACATTCGAGAAAATTAAGAGACGAGAACCATAAACTCTCCACAAAAATAACATAAATATACATTTTTGGCAGTTGGACATTATTGTTATCATCAGTTGAGCAAATGAGTTTGATGAGCAGCTATGGAACATTAATATTTGACAAAGTGATTGATCAAGAAGTTGTAAGCGTTCCTCGTAAATATTATCAGTTCGCCTCACACACACACACATATGAAATGAAAGTTGAATTGGTTACAAGAAAAGCGAGAAACAACAGAGATTGCCGAATTGGTGAAAATTGTTATTGTACCATATATTGTTTATAATCTTAAGTACCCGCAAGTGCTACACACTGTCGTAATTTGATAAATTTCTGAGAACGATAAGTACTTTTCAAGACAAGATAAAGGTGGCCTCAAGCAGATCGAATTTTCTTTCCTCGCATTGATATAAATTCGCTAGGACGGATACTTCAGCATGATAACATAAAGCGAAGATAATCCTGCAACTGTGAATAATTCACGTCATGACCCACTAGATTGCAGATTTTTGCTAAAGTCTCAAAGTTTTCAAGTGTTTCGGCATTTTTTAATACAACACTGGCCGAGTCTAATCTCGTGTTATTTCTATAGTCAAAATTGTACAAGTATCAGCTTTTTTGGATTAGTTTTATTTAAAAAGTGCAAGAAACCCGCATAAAAACACTCCCAAGTCTAAATTTCAATAAACACCTATTCTCAAGTTTGACTTTGACACCCTGTAGGGTGTAAGAATCACCGTACTAATTAGTCCACAAAGTTGGTTGGTTATTGACAAATTCTAAATGGTATTATTATTATTCGCACTCCGCTATAATTTTCTTATGAACGGGGGTCAGATTCTGCAAATATCAAGAAGTTTGCATTTTATGACAAGAGGGAAAAAAGGCAAGATTGCAGGATCAGTATTGAAGGATATTTCGTATTAAATATATTACTGTATGTTTTCAAAATGACCACCATTTACATTTGTTCATAATATAGGTGAGGTGTCAATTCTTATGAGTTTTGTATGATATGTTGAAGTATTATCCTGCTGCAGGAAATGTGTTTGACTTACTTACACCTATTGAACATATACCCTAATTAATGTAAGATAAATTGATAAATCATTCACATCAGTTTTGCCTTTTGTTTGTATTCTTTTTCATATATGTGAAATCTGATCATCGTCCATTGTAAGGGGCTCCCTAATTACGTGAGGTGTTCAGGAGGGAGGGGGTCGAGCAAAATTACACTCAAAATCTAACGCAGTGCAAAATTGCAAAAAAGGTGACTGTGCGCAAGCGTCAACGGTTTAGAGTACCTAAATCACAGCGAAGTTGAAGGAGCTGATGATTTTAGAAAAAATCACATGTACATGTATGTTGGTTCCTATAATCCAATAGATACTGTTATTTCCCATTTAAGAACTGTATTACTAAATTTCATCATTGTTATCTTAGAATACCATCTAAGCAATCTTAAAAGCAAGTCTTCAGTAGTCTTAAATTAAGATTATGAGGAAAATTGTGGTATTCAAATATAAATAAATCCAACACATTTACACTAAGGTTATAAATTTGAATTAATGGATGCACAATTAAAAAAAATAACATGAGAGTGCGAATAACAATAATACCATTTAAAAATTGTGATCAGTGAACTAACTTTTTGGTGTATTTGGCATAGTGATCATACTTGATTCTTTCATACAAAAGTGACCAAGTCAGGCGTGAGAATGGGTTTTCTTTGACATGACACCATTTCAAGCAAAAAGTGATGCTATTCGGGATAAAACACCTAATTCCGAGTGTTTTAAAACAAGCCTGGACCAAGAAGGGTAGTACTGTACAAATGATACGTGATTGACTGCGTAGAAACCCGTAGCCCAGTCTTAACAAAAAAATTAATTCTAAAAATCTTGAAACCTATGAAGCAAAATTTTGCCATAGAGTAGGTTATGATGTGAACTAGTGTTGCAGGATTAACATTCATTTTCTGGATACTCTGTATAACTAGCTAATTATATATGCTATTACTGAATGGGTCGTTTACCCAAACCCAATCTGCCAAAATATGACCTTACAAGATGTCAGGGTTAAAGATTTCGTGAGATAGTCTGGGATATGAATGAGATGTGCAAGATGATCATGACAGTTAAAACAAATTGCAATTTTTTTTAAGAATCTTCCTCTTTCTAGTTTCTGATTTAATCTGATCGTTTTTATTTTTGTCGTTAATTCCAAAATTATGGATGTTTTGATAGGCATCGTTATACTGGTGTAAATCTACTTGCCGTTATTTTTCACAACTTGATAACAACTTCTAATAAATCGCCAACTATTTATACATTTCTTTATCACTCAAATACGTCTGATATAATCTTATCGGTAATTTTCCAGCTTGATAAGCCACTGGCTTAGCTACACAATCTTCGAGAAATGCCCAAGACCCACTATCGCGCATCACATTTGAGAGGCAGTGTACATTGAATTTTGGGTCACTGACTTGACACCGCTTATCACATTTCATTAGATTACATGTACTCTCCGCTGCCGCTCGTTACACTTACTTAACTCGGTGCACTTTGTACATATTCTCAGCGGGTAGATCAATGTCATATATTGTTTGAAAGTTGCGAACTGGGATATGGCAGAAAAAATTATCCCCGTGGAAGTGCTGATTCGTGAGGCTAAGGATGTGTTCAGGAAGCAGTTTAAAGAGGAACCGGACCTGGCAGTGTTCGCACCTGGACGAGTCAACTTGATAGGAGAGCACACAGACTACAACGATGGGTTTGTCATGCCTATGGCTCTGCCTTTGGTTACAGTCATCGTGGGGAAGAGGGCATGTGGCGAGGATTCAACTGTGTACACCACCGGAGACTTCAAAGACAAAGAGGTGACTTTTGCGATGCCTAACAAGAATGCTTTGATCCAGGCTCTGCCCAGGGATGGTCCAAAATGGTCACTGTACGTCAAAGGGGTTGTGGCTAAGTACCTTGGACCCACGCCACCCGCTTTTAAAGCTGTTGTTCATTCAAGCGTACCTGTAGGAGGTGGTTTATCCAGCAGTGCTTCACTAGAAGTTGCAATGTACATCTTTCTAGATAGTTTAACTGGAGATACCTCAGTTCCCGTAACGGAGAAAGCGTTAGCGTGTCAGAAGGCTGAACATGAATATGCAGAGATGCCTTGTGGTATAATGGATCAATTTATCTCATTCATGGGAAGGCAAGATCATGCTTTGCTGATTGACTGCAGACATCTAACGTCAACACTCGTACCAGTCACAGATGACAATATCGTCTTCTTGATCATTAACTCAAATGTCAAACACGAGCTGACAGGCAGTGAATATTCCACAAGGAGGAAACAGTGCGAACAAGCAGCCTTGATCCTGAAGAAAGCATGCCTAAGGGACGCCAATTTGGAGGACATACAGTACCTACAATCAATCAACACGGACAAAGAAATAATACGACGTGCTAGACATGTCATCACAGAAATCCAACGAACAGTGGAAGCAGCAGAGATGTTGAAACAATTGAACTATCACAAATTCGGCATACTGATGACTCAAAGCCACCTTTCACTGAAGGAGGATTATAATGTGTCATGCCCTGAGCTGGATGATTTGGTGAGGTTAGCTTTGGAAGTGGATGGTGTCCTAGGAAGCAGAATGACTGGAGGCGGTTTTGGTGGATGTACGGTTACATTAGTTTACACTCATATTGTCGATAAAGTGATTGATCATGTTAAGAAGAACTATAAGGGGAAACCGACGTTTTACATATGTAAGCCAGGACAAGGTGCTTCAAAGATATAGTGTATTTTTTATATAAATTGTATGTACGTTGATCTAGGAGACATGAAAGAAAGTGAGATTGCTAATAAACATATTTTTTTCAAATTTATGTAGTTTCATTTTGCTATAGAGGCAACTCCATATTACAGAATGTTACCTTAATTTATTAAGACCATTAGCTTGAACTCGAGAATATCAAAACAACTCCACTAATTATGTTTGCAACATATATTATCTAAAGTACTATTCGCTAATATATAATTATTTGTATTATTTATCAGTTCAAAATTATTTCTCTATTAGTTTTGTTTATTACTTCTTTTTGTAGTGAAACTCCAATACGCTTTAAGCAGAACTAAATTAGCACTACACAGATTGTGAGGTTTGTAAGGTTATCTTCCATTTTAGATGTATTAATAATATGCTTTCTATACTAGTCATTGTAAGTCAGACTGATTAATATACAGGCTATCTTAAATGATAGTTACTGCTTCAGGCATAACAGGAAATTGGCATAAAACATAAATAAGACTCTTATTTGATGACCACAAAATAAGCCATTTTGAGAATTTAAGTAAAATAGTTTTCACAATTGACATTTAAATCGCGTAAAAGCCAGTCATTCAATGGAGCCATCCTCGTCCGAAATTCCATATCATTGCACATTGTATCATATAAATATGCATATTTTCGTTCGAAATTGTCAGAACAGCAAAGCGACAAGCCTAACAAATATTGTATGCTTAAAAGTGCGTCATGTTTACCGTACTACCTTCTCAGCTATCTGTTACAGCAAAAGTTAACGATAGCAAAACTTGGCGAGCACCAACCAACAGTATTCAAAGCTGAAATACTATGCTGCTGAAAATATGTGAAAATGGTTTCGTAAATGATTGTAGCCTCAGTATTCAAAAGACAATTTCATTATTGATATTGATATACGGAACCCCTGAAGTAGCCAAATTCATTCATTTTCTGCAATTTAGTATTGAATTCCCTTGGCTGGTGCTCGTGACCCTTAAGGCTATATATCTCATGAAAATAATCAGTAGCTATACTTTTTCTAGTTTTCGACAAACATATTTTGGATGAACCGGAATACATTGGATGAGATAGAGAAAGAAAATTGTGAAAAATAAAAAATTGTTTCCTACGGATTAAAATCATCTAAACTAAATTGTGAGAATTTATTTTTCAAACTAATTATTAATTAATTCATAACCATGATGCCCATATGCGCAAAGTGACATTGTAGGTACCAGGGCATTTACAGAACACATTCCAGGTTGTTGGTTATCTATGATATATTCTCGTAAGTATACCTAATCACTGTGAAATGTGAGCATGCGAAAAGTTTAAACAAGCTCCAAATTGTCACATATAGAGTTTTTAAGATATATTTTTATTTGATGTAGAAAACGAAAAAACCTTACCGTATTTATTATCGAGACGCCGCTTACATAAGCGCTTAATGATTAAAAATAAAGATTACTACCAGTATCAATCAATCGTTTTCATGGGTAGGTGTTTAAATGCCGTTATCTGTAATGTCACCTACTTCACCAAATGCAAAACGAAGCTATTTTCCATAAAGCAATACTTGTTTCATGATAATTTCCACTCGTATTACATACTTGGAATTGATTTGATATTTGTTCCATTACTGAAACTATTATTATTTTGGTAAATCCTACGGTACATGCCGAAAATAAAGATCATGTTTTGAAGTGTTACTAACTTTCTACTAAAATTATTAGGAAAATGTTCCCTGAGCAGAGTTTCATAATTTTCTAGTAAAAAACATGAACAACATTGCGAAAATCTACGTATGTTCTTCTATTCGTAATTGTCCGTCAGAGCAGTCCGTGGAACCTTTGCTCTTGGTTAAAGTATCGTAGGTCAGTAGGTCTGTCAGCTCTGATTGCCCAGATGCCAGACAGAGTTAGGGAGCTACGTCTCTTGTCATCTACCCGGTATTCCTTAACACTTTTATAGATAGGAAATTACCGCTCGGGTTTTCTTAGAATTTGGACATAAGGTTACAACGTCAAGGACATGGAGCTGGACGAGTTAAAAGTGAAAGCCAAAAAATCTCAGAATGAAAAGTCTTATACAAAGTTATACGTCTAAGATGAAGGTTTTCAATCAATGTGATTTTACACGGTGTTTCAAAAAATTGCTACCGATTAAAGTTTTTAAACTGAACACCCTGTAAATTTTTAGTGATATTAGTCGCTTTCTTGCAGATTCTAAATAAATATGCGGTTTGTTATGCTTAGCTCATTACTTTATTCAAAAACATGGATTTTGTGAGAAATTCAATCATAATATGTTCTGTTCGGTTATTCAGAAAAGTTAAAAGGGGGTCGATTTAAAGCCATACGTGACTATTTAAGAAACTGCACAAAATGCTCTGGCATACTTAAACTATTTCTATTTTGATAGCTTACCGTTTTTTTTTCAGTATGTATGATATTCTTAAGAAGTTTGTGAACCTTTGGGATGGGATACAAATGCTGTCACTTGATAAATCCAAATGCAGAAATTTGTAGTCAATTCTAATTCAGTTATGTACATGCTTAACTTTATAAACATTATATTTGTTGTTGATTATCCATTTAATATTTATATATTCATGGTGTTCCATATAGGATGTCTCTTAAACGTTAAACGAAAATTTTAGAAAACGGTAACTTTTTATGGCATACACAAAATTTCTCAAACGGTTTTGTTGTCGTGAGCTTTGGGATAGATTATCACGAAGTTACTGCAGGATAAAACCAAAAAACACTTACCTATATATAATACACGTGGACCAGCAAGCTGACGTATTACTTATTCCACAGCACCAGCTAATCTAAACCTCATTCAGTAAAAAAGAAAGCATTCGTTCGCAATCGCCACTTGAACTTCAATTATCGATTGAAAAATCAGCCACATCTGTTCTTAATACAATGCCATGCATATCTGAACCCTTTTTACCCTATAAACCTACATTTTCCACAGGAGATTACTGACGTTCAAACACTAATTGAATTGTATGATTTCTTTAAAAGGATGTGTTCTAGGCTGGGGACGTCAAACGCGTGTTTCATTCCGTGTTCGCTGAGAAAGTACAAGTTTTTGTTCCACACTATGGTTGTTTTATAATGTTTACTACGAGTGATCTTTCTGCCACTTAAATTCCATAAATACTACAAAATGAAAGCAAATCTTACAGTATAACCATCGCTCATCAAGCCTGATTCCAGAGAATTATGATAACAAAAAAAGCGATATCACACTGTGTCCGAAAAATCAACATTTCAAGCAACAATGTCTTCTACGCCAATGTGACTGATTGACACCGTTCGCTGTTAATGCCTCAGACAATATTTGTAAGTTCATAATGCAGTTAAAGTTTAAAACTAAAGGTTTATATTTAATAAGAATCCATATCGTCGCTTTTTCGGGCTCATTCTTGTTTCGCGGGTTCATACAGGGTGTAAACGTTATGGTAGTCATTATTGAAATGGGCTAATAGGGAAAGTCAAAACAAGTCAAAAAGTTCATATGAGCCATGGTCCAAAAGTGCTTCATATCGACCACAATCACCACAATCTTACTAATTTTTATAATCTAATCTAAGACGTTTTTGGGTAATTAACAAATAAATGGCATTAAGTTTTTCTAAGTTAAGGCAAAATTTGTGGTCAGTAAGTAAGTTTCATTAAATTAATTATTTAAAACACACATGACAACAGCGCGTCGATTTTTCATCACTCTTATCGAACCGGCAATCGATCGCAAACGGTATCAGTGGTTAGTTATTGTTCGCGTACGTCGTCGTGTTTATTTACAATGTTCTCGAACCAAGAGTTCGCTGACATGTTGTTAGTTTACGGTGAAGCTCGTCAGAATTCAAATCTTGCAGCTCAAAGTTATCGCGACAGATTTCGCGAGACGGGATACTAGATTTCCATAATACTCACACGTGGGCCCAAGAAAATCCTCATACCATTCGTGAAGGTCGAAATGAAGCTTGTGTGGAAAGTGGAGAACGAAACTTTTAACACCTTCTTTAAATACAAAAAAGTACAGTGTGGGTTTTAAAAAGAAAAGCAATGTATGTATCAAAATTGTGTTCCCTATTTATAAGTGGATTTTTTTAATACGTTCAATAAACTTTCACACTCCAGGTGAAGCGCTGAGACAGGTAGTGGTAAGTCCGTTTTTTTAATTGTTTGCATTTTACGAGTACATTATCAAATAATAAAATAATACCTAAGAGCCAAAAATAACAAACTCAATCTTTATTTACACTGCGTTCCGTCGTAATTTGCGTCTGGCATTGCGGTGTTGTCAGATTTTATTTTACATTAAAGTCGTTTTTCTCTAAAAAAATGCCGCTTTGACCCCTATGTTATATGAAACTTTTTGCATCTTTTAACCCCCTTCTATGACCCATTTAAATAATGACTTTCACAACGTTTACACCCTGTATAGGTATTAAACCTGTGCTACTAAACAACTGTTCACTGCAACATTGTATAGTGCTGGTGGTACAAATCTGCGTGTTATTAATTGATGATCGTATTTTTAATTTCCATTCAAAGTTAATTTTTATTTATATTGAAAGAGCAATGCCAGTTGAGTGCACCGATAGCACTAACACGTCGTGATATCCTTATCTGCGTGAATATCCGTATTGACGAATACGAATACAGACGTTCAAATTGATCTTGATGCTCCAAAACTGCGGATGCGCATATCCAAAGCAGACCTATTCCACACATCGCTCACAGACCGATCTTTCAGGGGTATGAATATTGTTGCCTTAATTTGATGTGCTGAGATTTTCCTCAAAAATGCGAAAATCGATTTTTTGATAAAATTGGACACCTTGTGAACCTCACATCAACTTTCAGTAATCTGTTCTTAGCTGAAGACACCGAACACGAGTTTCATTGAAAAGGATCTCAGTGTCTATAAGCGGATTTTTCGGTCCGAAAAATAGCTCCAAGAACCAGGTAGGTTCCTTATGGGACTTGGTTCTCGGCAAAATTTGTTGAAATTTCCAATATGGGTAGTTTTCAACAAGGCGACTTAAAGTCCCAACGGGAACA